CTCAATCTAGACACATGATCTTCTTTACCTTTAAATTGAAAACCAAAGGAAAGTTATTTTCCTATCCATTTGCTTAACCTCTATATCAAGGCTAGCAGCCAAACTCAACACAGTTCTAATTGATGACATCTTTGTAGCAGGTGAGAAAATATCATTAAAATCAACACCCTTTCTTTGATGGAAACCTTTCACCACTAATTTGGCTTTATATCTTGGAGACTTAGAGTTACTCTCATGTTTAACTTTATAAATTCATCTGTTTCCCAAAGCCCTTTTACCTTTAGGCAGCTTTACTAAATCATGAGTGTGATTATCATGAAATGATTTCATCTAATCATGCATTTCATCCATCCACTTTTGATTTTCATCACTTTCCATGGCCTCTTGAAAACACTTGGATTCACCCTCATCAGTCAAGATCACATACTCATCAGAATTATACCTTGTAGAAGGATGTCTCTTCCTGTTAGACCTCCTAGGTTGAACTTGAGATGATTCTGGAGTTTCACTAAGATTATCATTCTGTGACAAATAGCTTTCCCATTCACCATCATTAGTTAGAATATTTAACTCATATCCAAGTTGTTAATCATCAACATAATCATATGGCTCACCATTGTGATTATCACCACCAATAGCATCTAGATTATGACTATGTAACCGAACTGGATCAACATTAGACAAACTGATATCTTTCTTGGGTGTATCCTTCTCTACCTTATCAATATCTTCAATAGTTTGGTCTTTCATAAACACCACATCACAGATTCGAGTAAGCTTCTTCCCTACGGGATCATACAACATGTAGCCAAACTCATCTTGCCCATAGTCGATGAACATACATTGTTTTGACTTTGCATCCAACTTGGATCTTTCATCCTTTGGAATATGCACAAAAGCCTTACAACCAAAGACTCTCAAATGATCATACTTAACATTCTTTCCAAACCAGATTTTGTCTGGAACTTCACTGTTCAAAGCAACAATAGAAGTGAGATTAAGAACATGCACTGTCATGTAAAGTGCCTCGTCCCGATAATGATTAGGAAACTTAACTTCAGAGAGCATACACTTCACTCTCTCAATTAGTGTTTGATTCGTCCTCTCTGCTAAACCATTCAATTCAGAAGTTTTAGGAGGAGTATTTTCATGTTCAATACCATGCTACTTGAAATAGGAATCAAATGGTCCATAATACTCTCCACCATTGTCTGAACAAACACATTTCAGCATCTTGCTTGTCTCCCTCTCAACTAAAGCATGGAATTCTTTAAACTTTTCCAAAACTTGGTATTTTCTCTTCAAGGCATAAACACATAGTTTCTTGGAGAAGTCATCAATAAAGGTAACAAAATAAAGTGCACCACTAAAGGATTTTACCTTTAATGGACCATAAACATCATAATGTACCAATTGAAGCAACTTTGACTTCCTTGAAGGAGGATGTCTCTTGAAAGATACTCTAGTATGTTAGCCAGTCATGCAATGAGAACACTTCTCCAAACCTACAATCTTTAATCTAGGAAGAACATCCTTTTTGGCCAAAACATTCATCCCCTTTTCACTAATATGACTAACTCTTCAGTGCCACAATGATGCTTCCATGTCGATAGCATTCACATTGTCCCTAGCAACCAAAGTTTTTGTCCAATACAATTGAAAAGTGCTTATTTTTAAAAAAAAATTATTTTTCCCAAACACAGCACAAACAACTTTTCAGAGTCCGGTCAACAATTTCAAACGCACAGTAGCAAACAGTTTCGTAAGCACAACAACAACGAACCCCAAACAATCAGCAGATAATCTCGCTGCAAGCAACAACGAAGTCACCGTTAAAACTGGCAAAGTTCATGAGAATCAACAATAACCGCGTAACAATAAGTCGCGTAACAATAAGAGAAACCGTAAGCTTCCGAAAATTCTGCAACGTAAGCTTCCGAAAATTTTGCAACAAAACCACAACGAATCCGTAAACAATCCAACCCACATCATTCCATTTTTCTAACCAATCTCCATTAAAATCCATATTTCAAAAAAATATGAAAACATAAACCTTTGATTTGCAAATCCATATTTCCAAAAACAGTAAGAATACAAAGCTCACGAAGCATGAGGAGCATTTGCAAATTTACATCATCTTGCACCAAAAGAATCTAAGGCCAATTTCCTACCTTTTTTTATTACAAGCTGATGAGTGGTACACCAAACAATTGCTAAAAGTAGAGACAAAAGGACGACCCATATGTTTACTACATGAAGCCATGAAGCTGCTACAAATTGCTACTACTTCAAGCAAAACACAACTCTCACGCACGACCCAAGCTTCATATGATTCTAAGTCATAAGCCAAACCAAGCCAATGTGAAGATATGCCTAGTACATGAAACAATGCGCCTAAGCCATCCAAACTCCATGACAAGCTCATGCTACTAGCTACTAATGCCAAAACCATGAAAACAATCCAAGCCGTGCCAAACTGCAATACGCAAGTTGTGCCAAGTCGTGAACCATGAAAGCCAACACAAATGCTAGCATACGCAAGCCAAGCCGTGACCTACGCAAAGACAAATAACTGCTGCAGCGTGAATTATGTGAGCAACGCAATGACCAAAACGAAGGTGAAATTCCACACCTACCTCCGTTGACGCAGTCGAAAACACTACTGATTAGTAAGTTCTAAGGCTAGAATGAAAGCACAGGTTTGCAAGTGACAAACCTGTCAGATAAAACTCTAGAATCTATCGGATAGAGAATAGTATTCAATATTATTATGATCAAAGATAACTTTTACGGTCACAACAGAAGGTGTTTAAATATATAAAAAGAAACTCTAATGGACTTTTAATCCAAAATAGAAATTAAAAAAAAAAACCTAATATTCAAAACATAAATAAAATAGAAAATTATGAATGATATCAAAATGTTGTATTCGAGTTTAAAAGAAACTCGAATGACTTAAAAGGCTCATATGTCACTATTATCTAGAAAAGGTTGGACTTGTGAGACAATTCTCTATTCGGAAAAGTATAATAATAATAATAATAATTTTGATATCAGATGGCAAACCGACACAATTTCTGTTAAACCTTTCTCACACGCGACTTCTTCTCTGATGCACGCTGACATTCTTCCTACATCAATCTCTTCCACATAATTCCCCTATAATTTATGTGAACACGGCCTTATTCTAGAGAAATTTAAAAATTAAAATTCTTTTTTTATTTTAACAAGGTTGATCTCAATAATCATAAAAATTAATTTCTCATTAGTCGGGTTAGTTTGTGGAACACAACATGGCATGTCTACACTTGTGTGTCATATGATTTGGTCAAATCATGGTGTTCATTTCAAATGGAGTATTTATTTAGCCTTTTTTATCATTTATTTTTTGTTCATTCATTTCAAGAGCTAATGTAATCTCCTCTTTCAAAATATCATCAATCTCTTTTGTTTTCATATTTTGAAGTGTTTCTCTTCAAACCGAAATAGTTTGTTGTAGTTATGAATAGTAGAACTAGAGCCAATAATTTCTTTGGCAGATGAAAAGAAAAGTTTTAAAATTGTTGCAACCAAATTTTAAAATCATTTAAAAATTATTTTTGTAACAAAAGAGATTATTGAGATGATTTACAAATATTTTGAGGTAGTATTGTCTAAAATTGTTGAAGCAAATTATCAATCACAATTTACTAAGAGTAAAATAGTATTCTCAAATATTTTAATAAGGTTTTAATAATTTTAAAATCTCTCTCTTGTAGGACTTTTAAGTTTTATAAATTACACAATAGTATTCTCAAATATTCCATTAAAGTTTTAATAATTTTATTTTAAAACAAATTTAAATATTGTCAAGAATCAAAATCAAAGAATTTTATGAACATCAAAATTGAATGCTTCATTATTATATCACGTATTTTAAAAAATAAAATTAATCCGTCAAAATCTTATCTCAATTGACAAATAATAAATCTGAATCTAAAATTTAATGAATTTTTAGTAGTTCACGTATTAAAAAATATTAAATTTTAACTTTTTAAAATTTAAAATTTAGTTCCTAATGTTAAATTAACTTATGTGAGTACTTAAAAAAATTTGAATATGCATTTACGGTAATTTTTAAAATACTATAAATGTAAATATTTAAACATAAAAAAAAAAATTTTGAGTCAAGGAAGAATATATTAATTCAAAAACAAAGTCAAGTACAAAAGTGATCCAAAGAGGATCCAACTCCCTAACCGACTTAATTACATTATAAAACTAGCCAAATGTTTCCTAATTCTATTGTTTTGCCAGCCTCTATAAATCACATTATCTATAATTTTTTCAACCATGTTTGTATTTTCTACTATGTTTCCAAAAGTAATACTATTTCTGTAAATTCAAATGTTGTAGACGGTTTCGGCTGTTACCATCTTCAAAACATCAGCTTTCCAACCTTTCCCCGTTGTTTGATTAGTGATCCATATCAGTTCTGTATCACATTGTTGGGGCTCATGTTGTATGTTGAACCATTTGAGATTTTCCACCCAAATGTGTCTTGTTCTTGGACAGGAGAAGAACAGGTGGCTTATCGTTTCCTCCTCCGATTTGCATAAACTGCAAATGCTATCTTCAATTACCCCAAAATGTTTCAATCTTTCTTTGGTTGCAAGCTTCCCATGACAAGCTTGCCATAAGCATTGGATTGCTCGCGGGTGTCCTTTGTTGTATCCGATCAGTCTTCTCCAGTGCACCCTTGTGCCATCATCAATTAATACTTTATAAAACGTTTCTGCTTTAAACTTACGCGTGGTCATAGCTTGGTTCCATTCATGCCGAATCAAATCCATATTATCTCTTTGTTTCAAAATGCCCCGTATGATCCAAGAATTTTGTGGTTTGGGAACATAATTCATCATATTATCGCCTTTTAAGTACTGAGTATGTATCCATTTAACCTAGAGTGTGTCTGTTTTGTTGCAGAGGTTCTAGAGGAATTTCAAGAGTAGCACGTTGTTCTAGATCTGTAGGTTTAGTATGTTCAAACCACCTTGCGCAGCAGGCCTGCACGTGGTTTTCCACGCCATGGGGCACTTCCTGCTCGCATCCTTTTTTCCTTTCCAAATGAAGCTCCGACAAATTGCATCAATTTTTTTCATCACGTATTTGGGCAGAGGGAGGCAGTGCATCCAGTATTGTACCATTGCATAAGCTATGCTTTTCACTAGTTGTATTCTACCAACATAACTTAGGAGCCTAGAGGACCAATGATGAATTCTAGCCACTATTTTATCCACCAACGACATAAAGTGGGTGATGGTTAATCTTTTGCTAGTAAGAGGGATTCCTAGGTATTTGACAGGTAGTGCGCCTTCCTGGAAACCCGATAGTTCCTTCAACCTCGTTCTAGTTTGCATATCCATACCTCCAAAATAAATCTTGCATTTGTTAGGGTTCATCTTCAGACCTGTGGATTTGGAGAAATTTCTGAAAGTTTCTAACATCATTTTCATTGAAATTTCATCACCTCTACACAGCAGCAGTATGTCATCTGCAAAAGTGAGGTTGGTAATTTTCAGACTCTCACATTTGGCATGGTAATTGAAATTGGGATCCCTTTGCATTTTGACCAATAACCTGTTCATGTACTCCATAATGAGGACAAATAATAGAGGTGATAGAGGATCACCCTGTCGAATCCCTCTTTTGGCTTGAAGGACCTCAGTGTAACCCCCCATGATGTTAAACCTGTAGGATATCATGGTGATGCCAAGCATAGTCCACTGGATGAATTTATTTGGAATGCATATCTCCTTCATTATGAATTTCAGTGCTTTCCAATTAACCATATCATATGCTTTTTGAAGGTCTACTTGCATCATAATTCTAGGTGTGCCCCCTTTTCTAGTGTATCCTTTTATGAGTTCAATAGCTTGCATGATGTGGTTATGAATGTTTTGACCCTATATAAAAGCTGCCTGATTGTGGCTTATCACACTAGGAAGGACAGATCCCAATCTGTCAGTCAGGATCTTGGAGATGATTTTATAAAAGGTGGTGCACACAGCTATGGGTCTGTAATCTTTAATCTCACAAGCCTCATTGCTTTTTGGAATCAGGGATACTACAGCATTGTTGAACGGTTTGTATATTTTACCTGTTTCGAAAAAATCACTTATCGCTGCTATCACATCAGTTTTGATGGTTGTCCAGGTGGCCTTGAAGAATTTGGCTCCATAACCATCCAGGCTTGGTGCTTTGAGGTTGCCAATTTCTCTAAGGGCTTTGAAGATATAGTCCTCTATGATATTCTGGTGAGATATTCCCTCTGCTCCAAGTTGAGTTGTTTTCCCATTCTCATAGCCTCAATATCTATATGGTTAATATTGTTATCCTCTTTGTCCATCAGATTTTTGTAGAAAACCATCACTTCCTCTTCAATATCATTATGGTCTGATAGATGTCTGCCATCACTTGTTCGCAGGTTGGAAAGGCAGGTGGAATGGTGTTTAGTTTTGACAGCAGCATATAAGTAATTATTATTTCCATCTCCTTTCCTAATCCAGTCGATTTTTGCCCTTTGTTGTAAAATTTTCCATTCAATCTCGTTTAGTGTCATCACTTCCTCAGTCAGATCCCTTGCCTTTCCAATTAAGGTGGTATTTATCCTGTCCCCAGTCAGTTGCTCTTGTATGTTTTTGAGGTTGTCTCTGGTTGTTGTTAGTTTGTTTCTGATATCAGAAAAAGGCTTGCTAAAGGCTTTTAGTTCCTGCAGCAATCTTTTGAGTTTTTGCCATAATACATACATTGGACTGCCTCTCATATACATATCCCAGTTCCTCTTTATTAGTTCATCATATCCAGGCAGTTCAGTAATGTAATTGTTAAACTTAAAATGTCTGGTATGTTTCCTTTGTTCCTTAGTGTCTAAGTAGAGCAATGCATGGTCGAAAATATTTGGTGGAAGTATTTTCAGCACAGTTTCCATATTGGTGAGGAACCACTCAGTATTACCCAAAATTCTGTCAATCCTTGAGTAGATGGGCGCAGCTGCTTGCTTATTGAACCATGTGAAATGGTCCCCCAATGTTGTCCATCTCATTTAAACCAGTATGCTCCATCATTCTATTCAGATCCTCATATTCCCTTTCTGTTACCAGGTTACCCCCCATTCTGTCTTGGGCTTTGAGCACATTATTGTAATCACCAATGATACACCAGGGACCTTGGATGTGGCTAGACAGGTGCTCAATTTCCTTCCATAGGATTCTTCTTTTGTGTAATTGGTTATGTGCATAAACAGCAGTCAACCAGTGTTTGAGTGTTCCACTGTTATCATATACACCACAGTGGATCAATTGGCTGGTACTATGCAGAAATCTCATATCCACCCTGTATTTGTCCCAATGAATCCATATCCTCCCATTTGTGTGGTCTTTGTAGTTGTCCATGTGATTCTCATACAACATCGATTTTTCTCGAATGACCTTTGCTTTTGGTTCTTTGACCCTTGTTTCAATCAAAATGATTATTGCAGGCTTTAGATCTTGGAGACGGGACTTAATCTCACGCATTTTTCCTACTTTATTGAGTCCCCTTACGTTCCATGAGACTAACATGGTTCAAGGTTTGTGACCACCTGGTGATCATTCAATACCTCTAGTGATTCAAAACCATTAACATAGTGTATGCTGCTAGTTGTATCAGATATTATGTTTTTTCCTTTATCTCGTACAGATTTCTTCACCCTTGTCCAAGATACTCCTTCTTCATCCGTTAGTTTCTCCTGTATTGGTTGTTGTGTCGGTGTTATGATTGTGAATTTTTCCTTTTGTATGGGTTTTGGTATCCATTTTTTAACCTTGCCTCTGTCTTCACAGTTATGTCCCAGTTTTTGACATGTTTCACAGAAGGTGGGCCTCCATTCATATTGTACTGGTTGCATTATGATATCTCCTGCAACATTCCTTATGGTGATTTCATCAATCAATGGTTGTGTAATATCTACTTCAATCAGTATTCTAGCATACGAAACACGCAATTTGTTCGCTGCGCATTCATCAGTCACCAATGGTTTGCCAATGGCACTTCCAATCTTGCTAAGGCTTTGTGCTCCCCAAAGATGCAGGGGAAGTTGAGGTAGTTTGATCCATATTGGTAGTGTTCTGAGTAGGTCCTGCTTTAAGTTGAAACCAGATTGCCATTTTTTCAGTATCATGGGCATATTTCTAATTGTGTAGGGGCCTTTCATCATGACAGCTTCCTTGTCTTCGTGCGAGTTAAATCTTAGCAGAAAATACCTGTCATCGTGGTAGTAAAGATCCGGTATCTTGATGAAATTCCACATTCTTCGCATAAAATTCTTCATCGTGTTCAAGCTCAAATTATCTCCCACAACATACAGTATGAGAGCATTATCCCAGAATCGTAATTCTGTTTCAATGTCTTCCTGTTCAATATCAATTTCAATCACTCCATTAATTACCTTTGGTGCAACGTATTCCATAGACAATCCCTTAGTAGGGTTCCGATTATCACTAATAACCAACCCAGAGTTTCTGTTCTTCCGGCTTCACCTATGTCTGTTCTGTTAGGGTTTCGGTGGGCACTTTCTTGTTTATCTTCTCAGTACTTTTCCCAGCTTCGCTCATCATAGTGGTGATTTCTGAAACATCCTTTGGTGTATTATAGTTGGTAAGAGTCTCCGGTGACGGTGGAACCGTGGATTTCGGCCGCCCGCGTCCCCGTTTCGTCATCGTCATCGTCATTTAACTGTTAAAGATATTTTAGTATCAATAAATTTTAAAATTTTATGTTTACTTAATATTAAAAATAAATCGACTATTGGTCCTGCAATATTTTTATTTCGTTATTTTAGTATTTAATGTTAATTAACTCATATTGGCATTCTGTTCAAAGTCATGAATTCTTTTTTTTCTTTCTTAATTTCAAAATCTTACAATTCACATAATTTAGACGAGTACGGGCCCATCAATTTAATCAGATGTATCTACAAAATCATCTAAGTTTCTTGCTTCAAGATTGAGGAGGGTTATGGGTAAGTTGATTGCTCGATCTCATACGACTTTCATACCACAGAGGCAACTTCTTGATGGTGTTGTGGTGCTTAACAAACTAATCGATCTTGTAAAAAGAAGGAAATGTAATTGCATATTATTTAAAGTAGATTTTTCCGAAGTTTATGATTGTGTTGATTGGTCATATCTAAGGAATATGTTGGTGGTTATGGGATTTGGATCGAGTTGGTTAAAATGGATGGAGTGCGGAGTTTTCAAAAGCTTTATGTTCGTTCTCGTCAATGGGAGTCCTACTGAAAATTTTCAGGATCACCGTGGATTGAGATAAGGTGATCCCTTGTCTCCGTTTCTATTTGCGATTGTTGTTGAGGGCTTTGCTGCTATGGTTAGGAGGGTTGTTGTAGTGGGACAGTTGAGGGATTTTAAAGTAGACAACGGTGTTTCGTATTGTCTTCTTCAGTTCGTCGATGATACGGTATTAAAAAGTGACGAATTTTGGTTGAATTTATGGGCGTTTAAAGCTATCTTGAAGGGGTTTGAAATAATCTCTGGTTTGAAAATAAATACCGGGAAGAGCTCATTATTTGGCATTGGTGTTGGTGATCTATTCATGAAGGCAGCGGAGGGATTTCTTGCTTGCAAGGTGAGGTCGGTTCCTTTCAGATTCTCGGGGCTAACCGTCAATGGCAATCATAGAAGAATTTCATTCTGGCAACATGTTCTTGATTGTATGAAAGCTAGGTTATCTTTGTGGATTGGGAGACTTTTATCCATCGGGGGGAGGGTCTCGTTAATTAACTCGGTTCTGTCTAATTTGTCTAGTCATTACTTCTCTTTCTTCATGGATCCTTGCAAAGTGTTGAATGAGTTGATCCCTATACATCAAAATTTCCTTTGGCAATGGGCTGGTGTTTCTTCCAGAATCGCATGGGTAAGTTGGGATTCCATATGTCGGTCCAAAAAGGAGGGTGGCCTTGGTCTGAAAGATATTAGACTGTTTAATCAGGCTTTAATTTCAAAGTGGCTTTGGACGATCCTTAATGAGAAGGATGCAATCTGGGCTGATTTGGTATAGGTTAAATATGCTGAATTCGCAAAAAGGATCTTCTCTAAGGAAGCTTATTCGACAAATTCCTTCAATTTGTTATGGTGGAGGGATGTCATGACGTGCAACGAGGTTGAAGGTCAGGTAAAGTTCTCGTCCTTGATTTCTCTTAGAGTTGGTGATGGTGGTAGAATTTCGTTTTGGACTGCGACTTGGTTAGGGCGTTCTACCCTTAAGGACTTGTTTCCATGTTTGTTTGAAATTGTTGATTCTCATCAAAGTTTGGTTTGTGACACAGGGGTCTGGGTTGGTAATATTTGGTCTTAGCAGCTAGGCATAAGCCCTCTTGCGCTGCTACCACAAGTTGTGGCGGATTTTACGGAATTGAGCTCGCTTTTACAAGGTGTCTTCCCTATTTTGGATGGTTGTGATGTGGTTATTTAGCCTTATGGTCCTTTCTAGTATTATTTGGTGAAGTCCTACTATGACTTATTGATAGCGAATGATGAGAGATGAGTTGTGGACGACGAAAATAAGGTTGCCCTGTTGATTTTGTGGAAAGCTCTAATCCCGTCCAAGGTTAAGGTTTTTGGTTGGCATTTAATTCTAGATAAGCTACCCACGAGGATGAATTTTTCTAATCGGGGAATCTTTTCCAATCGGCACAATTAGGTATGTGTGTTTTGTTTCGGTCCGGTTGAAGATGTTAACCACATCTTTTTCTCTTGTCCTAGAATCAAGATAGTGTGGAGGAAATTGCATATTTGGTTGGGATTAGGGGAGGTTAATGTGTTACTTGTTACTCTTCATTTCTTTGCTTAGCTAGATTTGTTAAAGGGTAGGTGTTCCATGAAGGCGGTTGGTGGTTTTTGGGTTGTGGCTTGTTGGAGCATCTAGTGGATAGGAACCAAATAATTATTTAACGACGATGTGGCTGACCCGAATGGATTGTGTTAAGAATTATGTATCTTTCTTGGTGGTGGTTGCTTATTCTTTCAAACCGTAGAAGTTTCTGAAATTTCTATGATTGGTCCAAGAATCCTTTAGATTTTATTTAGCGAATCCTTTAGATTTTATTTAGCTTTGTTGTATTGTGTAGATGTTTATCCTTTGTATGATGGGTTGGAATATTCCTAATACCCTTTGATGAATGAATATTTCTTGCTTACAAAAAATAACTCATATGAATATTTTTAAAATTAAAAGATAACAAAAATTAGAACTCAAATTATATATATATATATATATATATATATATATATATATATATATATATATATATATATATATATATATATATATATATATATATATATATATATATATATATATATATATATATATATATATATATATATTCAAGAAATAAAATTGTCAATCATGACTTTTATATATATATATATATATATATATATATATATATATATATATATATATATATATATATATATATATATATATATATATATATATATATATATATATATATATATATATATATATATATATATATATATATATAAAAGTCATGATTGACCATTGTATTTCTTGAATATATATATATATATATATATATATATATATATATATATATATATATATATATATATATATATATATATATATATATATATATATATATATATATATATATATATATATATATATATATATATATATATATATATATATATATATATATATATATATATATATATATATATATATATATATATATATATATATATATATATATATATATATATATATATATATATATATATATATATATATATATATATATATATATATATATATATATATATATATATATATATATATATATATATATATATATATATATATATATATATATATATATATATATATATATATATATATATATATATATATATATATATATATATATATATATATATATATATATATATATATATATATATATATATATATATATATATATATATATATATATATATATATATATATATATATATATATATATATATATATATATATATATATATATATATATATGAATCGTCAATTAGGACCAAACTATGTCTTACAAAACTTTAATTCATGAGTGGTGTGAGAATCACAATTTCAAGCTTTCAAAATTTTACACATTTAAATTGGGTGCAAATATGTAGTATGGTGACAAACTTAAGCTCAAACACCTTCATTCAATTAATACATAAAAATTAGTTACATACTATTTGCGGATAAGATTTTCTGCTTACGACAACAATCTTGACCAAACTTTCAACAAAACCTGCAATAAAAACCATCTCCTACATATAGATTAAAATCAACACAAAACAAACATACGTGCTATATAGTTACAAAATTAAAGACAATGAATTTGATGAAATGAACACACAAAAATTAACAGTAACAAACATAACTTGGGTGCAACAGAAATGATCATACTTGTTGCACAACATTAAAAAACAGAACAAAATATGATGTGAGAACCACAATTTTAAAATTTCAAAAATTTACACTTTCTGTCAAGAAACTTATGGGAAATTTATACTCAATTATAGACCAATACACAAAGGATACAAAAACTCCCTCAAACTTGTAGGAATTTTGAGGATAAAAACAAATAAAGTAACAAAAGAACACTGATATTTTTAACGTAGAAAATCCCTCAATATGAGAGTAAAAACCACGAGTCGTCCAGAACAAAGAAATAACTCCACTATAATCAATTAAGCGTACAAGAGAATATTAAAGTGATTCATAAACTAGTGCTAACAACCGTAAATCACAAAGCAAACTAGTTTACAAATAAGAATCAAAAAGTTGAAATTTTTTCCCAAATTTGCAGTTTCATTGCGGAGTAAAAACCACGATTCGTCCAGACCAAAGTTGAATCAAACACTAATTGAAAATTGGAAAAGTCAAAAGTTAGATATATGTGTTACGAACCTTCCCACAAAATTTGAGTTCGATCCAACAGTTAACAAACCGGGGATCGTCGATTTAGTGAGACTGGTTGTAGAAAAATGGGAATGAGTTTCTCTCCTCTTTTCTCTCTTTTGAATCTTTATTTTTATCTATCTCTCTCAACCCTAAATTGATCATCTCCACTTAAATAAGTGTGACAAATGGGCTAATCATATATGAGTCTTTCTCCACATAGGAAGGGAGCCCAAACCCAACAAATCTCCCCCTCACAACTATGTGGAGGAAATCGCCAAACCGACGATATCACAACAAGCTTCAAATTTCCCTCTCATCATATCAGAACTATTATCATTTGTATGAACTTTAGCTAACTCCAACACCTTAGCATCCAAAACATCATGTATACGATGATATCTCACGTCAATGTGTTTGGACCTATTATGAAAAGTTGAATTTTTACCAAGATGAATTGCGCTTTGACTATCA